GAAAGATGACTGACGCTTTTTTTTTTTTTAATATTTATTTACATCTGCACACAAGAACTGGGGTATAGGCCAGGGGTGGTGAGAGGACTCACAAAAGACAGAGTAGGGGACAGAACAGGCAGATTGACTGAAATATACTGCTGAGGGGAATAAGAGGTGAGACAGGAGAGGTCTCCCCATGTGGGTCACCTCCTTGGCCAGGGATCAAGCTCATGCTGCAGGAGCTGTGGATAGCTTCATAGTGCTGTGCTTTAGCCCATTGTGGCACCTGGCAGGGCCTTGAATGATAACTTCTTAATGAGAGAGATCAAATTGATGTGGCAGCAGAGAGGATAACGGTATCTGGTACATTCTAGAGTGGCTTTGCTGAAAGCAAACATGGATGCACTAGATTTCATTTCCTCCCAAGGAAAAACAGACCAAACTAGCAGCTGCTCCCTGAGCTCCTGCCATTCCCACCTTGTACTTTGGAAATAAGAGACAGAGATGTGTTGTCAACACCAAGAAAGAAGGAAGGGTGGTCACAGCCAGGTAAGATGAGTCTCTCTTAAGAAAAAGAATATTTCCAGAGTTTTAGAGACAAGAAGGAAATGAGCACAAGGCCACAGAAGAGAAAAGGAAACAGGAGAAATGCTGAAAAACCTGGGATTTAGACAAGAAAATTAAGTGATCCTGACTAAGGATGAAAAGGAGGACAAGGTTTCTAAAGAAAGCAGCCATCAGGACTGTCTGTTCCGCAAGAGTTCCTGAGCTGAGACCAGAGTGTGCATTAGGAAATAGAGAAAGACAAATATAACAGAGCCTGCCAAGGAAACGAATGGCCAGCGGAAGCTTAACTGTGCAGAAAATGGTAACAGCAACAAGAGGGACCTTGTCAGTTCTCAGACCGGCCAGGGCTGCAGGGAAGGCAGCGTAGCAGCCTGGTGCTTATGAAGCCTTGTGCTCAGCTATTCTCTAGCAGTGGCACCCACACCACAGATGGTGACTGCTCTGGAGACCAGATCGAACAGCGTGGTGAAGGAAGAAATGGAGCCAACATCCTCAGGAGAGAGAAAAGAACACCCAGCGCCTCGAGGAGTTTCAAGGCGAGACCCATACGCTCACTCACTTCCCAGGGTCCAGGATGACCTTGTGGGAACCCTTTTAACCCTTCATGTTAATAACTACTACAGGGTCCTTGAGAAATCCAGTGTTTCCCTGATTTTCCAAGAGCAGATAACAAGGGATGCGATCAACATTGTGCAGGGAGGCACTCTGTCAATCCAGAGCCAGAAAGCAGGGTGGATTAGTAAACATGTGGTTTGTAAACTCAGAGGGAACAAGAAGGAAGGGAAGATGCAGAGTCAGCAGAGGGGGATTTGTACCCTCAGTTCCGATTACCCTCATTTCCTTTGACTTTTGACAGACAAATCAGCAGGTTATGGCCTTGTCATGCATAGAGACACATAAAATATCAGCACTGGAGGCAGCTTTAATGGAACTTATTTCACCCATTTTACTGGTGACTGGAACTCTTTGTGGTGAAGGAGACTCCGGGGATGAATTGAGACCCCCACACACACACCTCAGCCTTCCTTTCGGAGTCCCACCCAAAAACTGTATCAGTAAGACATCTGGCAAAGTCCATAGTTATCTACTGCATCCTCTTAGAATGACATGTTTTATAATTGCTGGAACAGCCAAAATCTGAAGCTGTAACTTATTACCTGAACATCAAAGGCCTGTGTATAGTCTTTCTTCCAATGCTTTATGATTCATCTATAGAAGCAGAACACACAGTTCAAAATGACACAAAGGCAAAAGGAAGACCTAGATTGCTGGATGAGAGAATCCAAATTTTCTTGATATGGAGGGTTATAAATTTTCACAAACATGAAACGAGGAGGCCCTTACTCAATGGCAGCCCCTGTGCTAAAAGCATTGGGATTTCACTGTAAGCAAAATGTGACCTGGTAGCATGGTGGAAGAACCAGGAAAGCTAACACAGCTTCATGTGTGTGGTAGGCAGAACATGCCCCTCTAAGATATCCATGTCAGGTGTGGACTGCTATAAATGTATATTTGCCATCCACAGCATAGCACAAAGCACTTAAGGGTGATTAAATTACAGGTCTTGAGATGGGAGCGATTAACCTGGATAATCCCGATGTCCCGGTAGGATCACAAGGGTCCTGTAAGTGAAAGAGGTGAGCAGGAGGGTCAGTGTAAGAGGAGGAAGTGAGCTAACAGAAGCAGAGGTAAGAGGGATGCAGAGGGAAAAACCAAGCAGCCTCGGGATGCAGGAAAAGCAGGGAAATGGATTCTCCTATAAAGCCTCAGGAAGAGCACAGCTTCAAGGGTCCTTTATAGATTTCTGACATCCACAGCTGTAGAATAAAATTGTGTTGTTGTAAGCCAGTGCATATGTGACAGTTGCCACAGAACAACAGGAGACTAACACAACCTACACCGGTGGTTTGGTTTAACTGTGTGTTGTGCAACACACTCATTAGTTCATATCTTAGATGTTAAGTTCATTTCTGGTTTGAGTTTAGAAAGTATGTTGACAAAGTCAAGTACATATCTGACTTGAAAGACCTTGAAGTTGTAATAAATGAGAAGGAGCTGAAAAGATTGGCTATTTCCTGAAATAATATTAAAACGTAACAGTCATCATCTAATGTTTGAGGGATTAACATGTCACGGTAACCCCAGCGGACAGAATTAGAACAAATAGTGTGAAAGTTAGGACTTTTACAAAACTCAGAGCTGCCCACAAAGTAAAGACAGCATTCTGTGCCTTGTTAGGTCGTAAACTGCCTGTCGCTGCAAGCATTTGGGCCGAGGCTGTTCAGTCAGTAATCCTGGAAAGGACATCCACAGAGTTGAGGTTGGTCGAGAAGACTGCCGCTAAGCATCTTATGCTAAGATTTGATGACTTGAGAAAGTCATCGGTAACTTAAGACAGACAAGTCATATTTTCACTGAAATCCAGATCCTTCCTTCTGCTAAAATTTATGCTTAAATTTCACAGGAAAATAAAAAGCAGTAGCAGAAGTTCTCGCTTCTGTTCCTTGTGTAACTCTCAGTGCTGTTTTTAGATTTCCTTAGAGCTGTCATCTTGACAGAGTGCTGAGGTCAGCATCTCATAATGGGCATACCTTAAAGATGGCAAGGCCTCTGTCGTGGGGGCCCAGGTACACTGGAAGGTACATGCAGCCTAGTCTCCCCGCTCAAAACCTCAGACTGAGGGTTCAGGGAGCTCCCCGCTGCCCTGCCTTTAATTGTCTACCCCTGAGCTTAGTTCTCAACTTCCCTCAACCAAGCAGTGGCCCCTGTAAGTCAGGAAGCTAAGCAAGTGGTGATACATGAAATGATGACTGGAGAAATGGCTGCACTAATGGGGTTACCAGGAGAATATGGCAGAACCTGTTCTGCTGCTAAGTTTGGACCATTGCGTCTTCCACCAGCCCGTTTCTCAGTAAGGAAAGTGGGTGACCCAGCTAGAGGCCTGATAGTATTCTCTCACCTCTCCACGCCATTTTCTCCAGATTCCTTGAATAATGATGCTGCTGCTGCTGCTACTTAATTCGCAAGAAAAAGAGCAAATAAACACATCTCTTGTGGTCATTCACCTGTGTTCATGCTCTGTCCCTCCCAGATGGCCCCAGCCCCTCACGGTGCTAGGGCCAGAGTTTCAGGCTGCGACTCTCCTGCAAGCACCAAGCCACCAGTCTCTGCCTCCATCTCCAGCCCATGCATGAAAGGCAAAGAGGCCTGTGTCAGTTGATTAAAAATGTTCTCGGTCGGTCAACGTGTCTGGACAAGTACCCACTTACCTCACACCCCAGAGATGATTGTGGCCATAGCTACGTTTAGACACAATATTGACCTTTGTGATAAGATTGTTCCTAAATTGCTGGCTCCCGCTCATCCTCTCTGTCTTCCCATTCAGTGCCATGTGTTTTAATAGTTAAGTGCTAGATTGCTGCTTTAATTCAATAGGTTGTTTTTGAGGCAAGAAAAAAAGAAATTATACCTAAAGGTAGAAAAGGACTAGTTTCCTTCCATGTAGCGGGCTTGCAGGAGTTCAAACCTAGTGTTTGGTGCAAACCTATCCCCCTAAATGATATACAGGGTTGTAAACCAATGCTGCCTCATTAGAAGGGAAAAAAAGTAAAAAGCAAGCATGGCAAAATAAATAAAGACCCAATGATGGCAGCACCCAGAGCTGGCTGAGGGCAATGCATGAGCCTGCCCCCAACCTCAGCTCACCAAGGCTGGAAAATCACCCTCCCGGTGTCTAACACTGACCCCACTTCCCCCAGTGCACTCCCCTCATCCTCCTGTGAATGGGAAGGGAATGTAGGCTTCTGGGAAGTGGTGCTCAGCTGTGCCTCCCTCACCCCAGTGAGTATGTATCTTCCATGCAAGAGGACAGAAAATGAATTCTGGCTGTGCAACCAAACTTGTAAATACCCAGAGGCACTTATCTTCGAGAGGAGAAAGGTCTTTGGTTAATCTTTCACATCTCAATTTTTCATCTACAAAATGGAATAATAATGATGCCTGATTTACTGGGCAACTATGGTGGTTGTAATCCATGTAAAGCACTTAGGCAAGGACCTACCTGGCCTTTAGCTCCTTCTGTCATCAATAAGTGAATGAATGAAAATTGGATCTTTACAAACATGCTGTACATTTATACCCAGACTTGATTACTGAAGTAATAATGATGAAAGAGCGTGTTTTGTATGTGGACATTTATAGTCCTTTATATTTGTATTTTGCACTATAAAATCTTTTTTTTGGGGGGTGGGGGGCCTCCCAGGTGGCACAACAGGTTAAAGCACAGCACTGTGGAGCCTGCTGCTCTCTTCAGCAGTGTACTTTGTCAATCTGCCTGTTCTGCTCCCCACTCTGTCTCTGGTAAAGCCTCTCGCCTGCCCCACCTCTGGCCTGTACCCCAGTTCTGTATGCATAAATAAATAAATCTTTAAAAAAAATTTTTTTTTCCCCAGGACTACACTTTGTTATATGAAGAAGCAAAATATTTTCAGCTTCAGCCTATGTTGTTGGAGATGGAAAGATGGAAGCAGGACAGAGAAACTGGTCGCTTTGCCCGGCCCTGTGAGTGCCTAGTGGTGCGTGTTGCCCCAGACCTTGGAGAAAGGATCACACTCAGCGGTGACAAATCCTTGATAGAAGAAGTATTTCCAGAGATTGGGGATGTGATGTGTAACTCTGTCAACGCAGGCTGGAATCACGACTCAACACACGTCATCAGGTTTCCACTGAACGGCTACTGTCACCTCAATTCAGTCCAGGTATAGTGTTGTCAGACACTGTGTGGCATTAAATGTCACTTCATGCTGTTTTTTCACCTTGTTTCACATAGTATATTTCCTCCAAAAAGCGGAGAAACTCTCCTATGGCAACACTTCTTTTGGGTATGTCATGTGTTCACCCCTCTCCAGCATACATTCAATCATTCCATAGAGATCTATTGAACACCTGTAAGAAACCAGCTGCAATTATGAACACTGAAGGTATAGAAGAAGAAAAAACAAAACAGCTGTGTTTTTCTGGCACTTACATCACAGGAATGGAGTGGGGTGGAGGTGCTGCCCAGCAACCAGCATAAATGCTGGTCAGGTACAGAGAAGAATAAACAGGATAGAGTATTCCATGCAGAAAGGCCTGCAAGTTCTGAAGACCCCAAAGTAGGATTGGGTAGGTTGGCATATTGAGAAGTAGTAGGCCAGCCAGTGTGACCTGGAGAATGTGAGTAAGTGCTAGGAGTTCCTGACCAGAGACAGTACATAGATTGCCCTAGACAGGGCATGGGATATTTTGTTTTGGTTCTTTTTTTTTTTTTTTTTTTGTATTAAATTTTATTGATGTATCATTGGTTTACAACACTTTGTATGGTTTAAGGGTATGGGTTCACCTCTTCTTGTTTTGTTTGCTTTTGGAGTTGCCCATCCATTTCTTTACCTTGTGTGAGTGAAATGGAAAAGTACTGAGGATTTTGAATGGAGTGACATGATGTAACTCATATTTGAAAGTGACTCCTCCAGCAACAAGTGGAAAACCCTGGTAGTAAGGAGACAGTTAGAAAGCTATGGTCTAGGCAGGAGCTGAGAAGTGTTCAATTCTGAATATCTTGAATGTAGAACCAAGAAAGTGATGGCTCTAAGACGGATTGTAAGATGGAAGCCACATATGTCTAAGATTTCTCTTAAAGAACCGGTGAGTGGAATTCCCACTTTCTTAGATGAAGAAGCGTGGGATGAGGAAATTTGAGGGTGAAATTCAGAAGGTTGGTTTAGACGATACCAGGTGCCATAGATGCCTAGCTAGCCCTGAAGACCTTTGGCTGCTTTTATTATCAAGGATGGATGGATGGATGGATGAATGAAAGTTGAGTCTGTGCCTTAGACACTGTGGGTGTGAGCATCATGTCAGCTAACAAGTGCCTTCACCCGGCTGTACATACATTGTCTTCTGGGTAAACATGATTAATCCCCTGTCTTTGCTGATGAGATAATGCAGGCTCACTTGAGTCTTGAATCCAGGTCTATGAGCTTAGAACAACTTAAAGTCAGTAGACTGAAGAGTTAGGAATCTTTCCCTGTTCCCTCCCCCCCGACCCATTTTCTTTGGAAAGGGCCCATGACTTTTCAGGGAGCCAACCAAACTTCTTCCAGAGCTCAAAGACAAAGCACTCATTTTACTCATTTGCCTCTGAGGATTTTTCCACAACTATTTATATATATATTTTTTTATGTTATGCACACAAGTCTGAGAATGGAACAGCAGGAAACTCCAATAGGAACTAAGCCCCAGGCATGCTAAAGGAAGGCTCCCGGGGGCAGAAGGGTGCTGCCAGTCTGTACAGGTGTGGAGGAGTACCCATCCTTGTGCAGTATTCCGCAGCAGGACTTCAGTTATTTATAAAACCTCCAAAGCTCTGAAAGCCTTTCCCCTCCCATGCATCCTGCCCCTGGCTGCTCTTTAGATAGGAGGAGAAGAGCCATTTCTCACACACAAAACTCGGGTCACCCCTTATGCCACTGAATAACTCATAACCTCATATCCCAGCTCATTTGAGTCTGATGAGGACATTTTCACCTGGCTTAATGTCATCATTTATGTTATAGTCGTAAGCTCCTCTTGCTTCCTGCCCTACCAACCAAGAGATAGGTACCATCCTCTGGCATTGAGAGACTTTGGACTAAGATGCATGAGACTTGATACCCCACTGAGTGGTGTTAATATTCTTTAATGAATAATAATAGAAATTGTTAATTTCTATGAACAATTGGATATTTAAAAAGTAGGGACCAAGAAGCATTACATTGGAATAAGCTTGATCACACCCAAGGTAACATTGGATCATATTGAATAATTATCATATTATGTAACTCCACACTCTCAGAGAGGAAACTTAGGGATTTCCTTATGTTAGCAACTTAGCCACCTTAAAAGGCAAATGATATCAGAGTTCTTTGTCATTTATTTCTTGCATTCCTTAAGCTCACAGTTTCTTCTACCTTTGTAGCTCCTCTACTAAATAGGTAAGAATGCTTTCTAGTGTGGCGACTTGGCCAAGGAAACTGGTTTTTGTCCTTGCTGATGGGCAACATTCCCATCTTTGCTGGAGAGTTCTTAGCGTGAACTGTTCATCTTGTAATCACTTGCCACCGCAGTGCATCTTGATATTTGACATTAGGGATCGTTTTATTCATTCTGTCCTTCACTGCCCAGTGTGCATATGCATTGTGAAGTTATAGTCAGAAATAGAGCACTCCATGGCAGTGTTTGTTCATTTTTTTTAAATCACATAAAGATTTTTGTTTTAATTTGCCACTATTTGAAGTGTTAATTTTTAGAAAGCATACTTTTTTTGCCTTCCAATCTCATCTAGTAAGCCCTTTTGCAAGATAGCAGATTACATTGCATATAAAAGTAGGTAGCAGAAAAAAAAATTGTTTTTTTAACAGTAAGAATTCACTTTATGTTGACTACATTTTGAAAGTTATTTAGTAACATTTACTTCATTACAAAAATAAATTCGAGCCAGGATTTTTTTTTTTTTTTTTTTTTTTTTTTTTTTTTTTTTTTTGTACACTGAGGGAACAAGGAGAAATTGGGAAGCTGACAAAGGTCAAATTCATGTTGATGCAAAAGACATGTGTTTCTTTTTTTTTTTTTTTTTTTTTTAGTTCTGATTAAGTCATCTTGTCTTTAGAGTGGCATCAAAATAATATAATTATATTCATAATTCTGGCAGGGAATATTTGCAAGTGTAATATTTGTGGGATCCCTAAAGAAACAGAACATTCTAGCTCAGTTTCCTATACTTCTGCCTATCCTGGAGTTGTAAAAACTCTTTCCTAGAAAGTATCTTATGACAAACCCAGGGACCTTTCTGGCCTTAGGTATTTGATTTCAAAGTTAAAGATTAAATAACATGACGTATGAGAAGTCTAGATTATTTTTATTTGGGATGTTTGCTAATATATAACCATTGCATTTCTTCCTGCCTCCCTGAATGCACATAAAGCATTAAACCTTCTTCAAATGCCACAAACTGAAAAATCTAGAGACAAACCTCAGATGTTTTCGTTTGCCCTACTATTAAAATATCAGTCGTTCAGGCTGAAATTATTAATCCATTTTGGAGCCCGTACACATTGGCAGAGCTGAGAGTGGGTGAGTTGAGAATGAATCACTGGAGGAATAAGTTCAGATGATGTCACTATCTTTCCATTTCCTTTACCATCTCACATAATATATTTTAATAGTAAGTGAACTTTGAAATGTGAACCCTCTCATTGCACATTGCATGAAATGGGATTTGAAGTAAACTGATTAGAATTAGAAGCCCAGTTCTATCACTTACCAGCAATGATTGTTCATCTATAAAATGGGCTGACATGGTCCCTTCTGGTGGTGTGATGGTAAATGAACTGGCAGGTGGAAAGTACGCAAATAAAGGCGCATTTTAGGTATCAGAAATGTTTGCGCCCTCCCTCAGTTGTTCTTGTGGAAACAGAAACTCAAGTATTCTCAGGGATGGGGTACGACTGACTAAACCTCATGTGATCTCAAATGTTGGGATATTTCTTTGAGCTGTGTACATCGTCAAAGGACCCAGCTCGTTCCTAACCGGATGCTTATCTTGGCCCCTCGCAGGTCCTCGAGAGGTTGCAGCAAAGAGGATTTGAAATCGTGGGCTCCTGTGGAGGAGGAGTGGATTCATCTCAGTTCAGTGAATACGTCCTGCGGCGGGAACTGAGGCGGACGCCCCGGGTACCCTCTGTCATCCGGATAAAGCAAGAGCCTCTGGACTAAATGGACATGTTTCTTATGCAAAAAGGAAAAAAAAATAAACAAAAAGGGACATTTATGTGCAGTTGGGACAGCAAACCAAGTTCTGGACCTAAAATTGAATAAAAGACACATTTATATCCAATAGAGACCACACCTGTATTCATATGGGAACAATTGGAATAGTGATATTCTCAAGGTGTAAAAAATATAAATATATATATATATATATATGTCAAAAGGTAGGAAATGCGAAAAAAAGAAAAAAAAAAGTGGTAGCTACAGTTGGTGCTGTGATGGCCGTGAAGTGTCCTGGCCTCTCAAGGCCTCTGACCAATAAGCCATGAGCAGTGAGGACGCATCTCCTTACAGTTTTCCATTGCCAACAGCCATCCATTGTTATTTTTTCCTTTGTCTTTCTTTTTACTTTTTTTTAACCACATTGGAGTTTCTTTGCATTTGGAGGTTTCCTCTCTCTTTAGGCAGGACCTGACAGGACTTCAGAAAAACTCTCATGAGCACATTGCATTCAAAAGACGCTAGACATGAAATTTTAAATGTAGTTTGTACAAAAGTCACCGTTTTTGTCCACCTCACAGATGTTAACATGACTTTGTTTTTAAACTGATCAGTTTTGCAAAGGGGCCAGAATTATTACTTGTTAGAATTGCTCCAGTTTGAGTCTGCTGCTTTCCTACAATTTTTCAAATTTTATAATGTATTAAATACAATAAACTCTGTTTAAAAAATAAGTTCTGTGTGAAACACACTTGTTGGAACGAGGTTGAATTAAAATGAAATTTTTCTTTTTCTTTTTTTTTTAATTTTGTATTGTGTGTCCAAAAAGGGTCTAAAAGATGAAGCCGGTTTTAAGGTCCAAACCCTCTAAAAGATATGTCACCTGTTCTAAATCACTTTCTGATTTATCAGGCTTTTAATGGTGTATGTTCTATTTATAAATTGCAGTTATCGATCGCTACAGAGCACACCACACCAAAAAGTAGTGGCTCGTAAGAAGCCTTTATTCTCTCGGTGTTATGGGATGCTCCTGTGGAGCTCTGGTGTGGTGTGATGTCACAGGAACTGGGGACCGACTAGGCTGGTACATCCAAAATGGCGTTCTACCTGGCTGCCAGCTGCTACTGGCTTTTGGCATCGGGAGGTGCCTTAGGCCCACACCCAGAAGGCACCTGGGCGCCTACGAAGCACAAGAGTTCCAGGAGCTGGAAGCAGAAGCCACGGCCCTTTCAAAGGCCAACCCTGGAACTTTGCAGTGTATCTCTGCAGTCTCTTGGTTCAATCCCAGATTGAAGCAGAAGGAAAATGAAATCCACCTCCCAGTAGGAAGTGACAGAACTTGTGATCAGTTTGACGCTTCATTACTAAGTGTCCTCTCCCTGCCCTCCCAAAAGTCTCCTACGTAGGGCATTATGATTTTGGAAGAAGTAGATAAAATGTCAGGGCCAGAATGATCACTTTTGTACTATCTAGAAAGATAAGAACTGTGAGATTTCAATACCACTTTGAAACTAGACCTTCAGCTTTTCTAGAGAATTACTGATTCGGAGGCTCCTTTGTCATCCCCTTTCTCTCATTTTTCCTTATTTCACACACTCAAAATAAACCTGGCATGATAAGACTGACAGGTAAACTATAATGTGTTTCTGTAGCTGAGACGTTCCCGCGGTGATGGGCAATTTCGATCCTGAACTTTCTCTCTCTCTTTTTTTGAAATTAAAACATGTGTGCCTGAGGACACTAGTAATAAAAATATCTCTGACTTCAGAAACTAAAAGTAAGCTGTTAATAGCTCCTATCATCCCCTGAAACACAGAGGCGGCCCCAACATTGAATTACTCCAATGACTGCCAGCCAGAATTCAGTATGATTGCTTAATTTCCCCATATCTGAGACTTAATAAACCACTGCCTCATTAGAAAACAACCAGGGTGTTCCCAAGCCGCTTCAGCAGCCACATCCTGCTCAAAGAGTGCAGGATGCTATAGGATGTTACTAGTCATCCATTTTCACTATGCATAATTCCCCAAAATCGATACAGCAAGAGCCCCTACTTTGGTAGATTTTGCTGTTGCTGGCATCAGTTAGTAGCACTCCTACATGCAGTTAGTAATGTCTAACCAAAAACTCCATGAAATTTGGTGCATTAGCAATTAGCATTCATTTTATTCTTTTCAAAATTCTTGGGAATATTTACACAGCTACAACCCAACTGCACAGCCTTTCTATGAAGCCTGATCCAACTCAATCGCACAAATATGTTACCTGTAATTTTCACATTTGGGGGCCTTGCAACATACAGATTCCCAAAGTACTTCAGGAAAAAGGTGATCAAAATACAACTGACTCACAAGTTAAATTTTCCTCTTTTTTTTTTTTGTTATCAAGCTATATAGCTCATATTCAAACTTTGCCTGTTATCCCAATAAATATCTTTATAGCTGTGTGTATTTTCCCTCTACAAAAGCTGATGCATTGCATTGATAAATTAGCCACTACTTTTTTTGTTCTTCTGTGACATTGACTTACTTGAAGAATCCAGGTCAATTGTTTTGTGGTTTATTGCACAATCTGGATTTGTCATATTCATATCCCATTAGTGGAATCAGGTTAATGTTTTTGGCAAGAATTCCATGTAGATGATGTTATGTTCTTATTGCATCACATCACAGGGACCTATTTGGCCCATATGAAAGAGGGTAATTTTGACCACTTGGTAGGAATGACATCCACCATATTTCTAAAATGTAAAAGTAACTTTCTCCCTTTATAATTACTAAGTAACCTATGGGATGAAATTGTAAGACTGTAAATATCCTGTCCAATACATTTGTCCAGTTTTTAACATTCACAAGCAAACTTTTCCTAAATCAATCATCATCATGGTGATTATAAAAGTGTACTTTTGCCTGAACCCCCCCCAAAAAAATTATACACTGAAAAATTGTGCAATGGCCTAAACAATTGGTATTTGAAATAAGTTGTGTTTTTTTCTTTTTCCCAGAATACAGTTCTTTGTCTAGGACCCACAAATTCTAATCATTGACCTGTTTCCTAACAAGTATTTTAGCAAAACAGAATGAAGCAAGACAGTTCCAAACTGGTTTCTAAATGCTAGGTTGAATTTCTACATAGTAATAATAGCCACGCACTAAATGTTTGCTCTGCTCTAGGCATTTTACATGCATCTAACTTAAATCTTTCTGATGATCCTAGAAGTTCTATTAGCCTCATTTCTCAGTTAAAGAAATGAATATTTTTAATACATCAAGTAAAAAATATGGAAAAGCTCAATTTGATCAAGTTTTTTAGAGTCCCAAAACAAATTATTTGAGAAAAAGTTTTCATGTTGTAATAAAGTAAAAAAGAAAGTCGATAATTAATGACATGTTCTCCTTAAAATGGAAATGTGTTCTTGTCTTTAAATATTTCCAGCATCACTTACAATATGTTGGGCACTTGGCTATTGACGATACTATGACGGCCAAAATATGCTTTCTGCCATGGGGTGCAGAGGGGCAGGTAATGACCTACATGACAATAGGTAGAATTAGGGCATGGGCATAGCTGACTCCACTACAAGGCACAATGGGTATATATGTAATTTCGTTTTTACAAACCAATAATTATAAAAATGCCAAAAAATATGGGATCACATTTAGTTGAGAAAATTTAAAAGGACCAGGGGGGAACGTGGCACTTGAAATAGGTTTTGCAACGTGATATAGGTGGAGGGCAGAGGCTCCAGGCTGGAGAAGTTTAAGGGTCAGAGAATGGTGTAATTTAAGGGTCAGAGAATGCAGCTGGGTTGATTAGGAAAGAATGAAAGATGACTGAAAAAGGAAGGTGGAATTGAGCTGGAGTAGTACTTGATCTTTGAGTCCCAGGCTGTGGGGTAGACTTCATTTAAGAGCTTTTGGAGAATCAAAGAAGGTTGGCTTTGTGAATAGATACATAGTATGTAGACTTGGTTGGCTCAGAACCGTCTATTGGTGAGAGGGGCAGTGTTTCTAATTCATATATTCATTGCTCAGTAACTAGCTAAGTGCTGACAACCCAAAAATGTATGAGAAATTAAGGCATCATCTTGGGTGTAGGGGTAACAAACTCAGATGCCAACAATAGTTGGGTGAGTTGTATAAATGGGAGGCTGGACAAGCAGAACCATGTGGGATCTATCCAAAGGGGCAGCCCCTATTCCACTCCGACAGGACAACAAGGGTGCTGGGCACCCTTCTCGTTTTTCTGGAAAATAAGAAATCAAGATTTTTGCGTGAAATTTCCATATATCGACGTATTGGAATTAATTCACTTTTTTAAATGTATAGACAAAACAAGACAGCTGCAGAGTTGGTGACTCCGAGGGTTATAATAGATGTTTGAACATTCTAGAAAAATTTCATTTGGGTAGAATTACATGTGATGACACAGGACTAAATTCTTTGAGTTTATTGTTAAAATGAAAATTTGAGGCAAGTTTTTAGACATGATGTCATTTGAATGTAAAGATTTAAGTCCTGGCATATTACTGACAATAACCATAACAAGCTGCCTTTACTAAACATTTACCATGTGTTGGGTACTCTGCTAAGGCCTTTACAGGTATTTTTCCTGTAAAAATGTAAATGTTTACATTTTTCCTTAAATGTTCTTAGAAACCCTGTGAAGTAGGCATTCAGTATTATCCCAGTTTTACAGATGAAAACACAGGTATGTCAAAAATGTTGCTAAAGTCCAAAAGAAATTTGGTACAACACACACACACTATGTTTAATTAATACCTTGGTCTCAACTCTTCCTGGTCTTCTACTCTATGCAGCCTGGTTTGACCGTCATTGGCAACTTTAGTGTGCTTCATTATACAACTCTTGACAAAAATGTCACCTAGTCACTTACTGGTAATAGAGTAGGAATTACTAAGCCCTGAGAAAATATGTGTTCTTTAACTTTCAGTTACATCAGGTTTCTCCAAATATGCCCATTCTTAAGACACACACAAAGGCACTTGTTAAAGATTCTGGTCCACCTCCACCTTCTCCGTCCCGACTCCCCTGAATCTCTCAATCTCTAAGAACCTGGGAATCTATTTTAACAATGCTCACCACAGATAATTCTCATATCAGATAATTTTGGAAATTATTGGCTTACCTCATTGTATCCTTCAATCTTGGACGAACTGGGGACAAAGTATCCCCAATATTCTGGAGATACTTTCGTGGAATACCCTTTTTTTAACTCATTGATATTTATTATGCAACAGATGGTTTCTATTCTTTTGGAAGCAGACTGAATACTTCAAGTGGGTTACTGGGATAAGGAAATACTTAACTGATACTTAGCCTAAAGACATTATCTCTTTCCTAATTAGGTAGCAAACTCCCCTATCCTGTAGAAAGAGGCCCCTAGCTTCCACCTACTCTTAAAAAGTCATCAGAGTTTCAAATGAATAGAAATCTTACAGCACAGGAAATAATTGCAGTAGCATCTACTCTCTCTAACTAGATAGCTCACTACAGGTGTGCAGGAATTCACCTTTTCCCGTACATTTTAATTTGTATGAATTTCTTTGACTTTTTTAAAGATTTATTTATGTATGCATACAAAAACTGGAGTACAGGCCAGAGGTGTGCAGGTTGAGAGAATTCATCAGAGACAGTGAGAAGCAGAACAGTTAGATTGACTGAAATGCACTACTAAGGGGAGCAGGAGGTCTACTGTGCCATGTGGGTCACCTCCCTGACCAGGGATTGAACTCATGTTTCAGTGGCTGCAGATAACTTCATAGTGCTGTGCTTTAAC